TTCTTAAACTCTACGCTTTTATGTAGAAAAACTTATATAATGAGACATAGGGAGGATCTATTATTGGTCAACTTAATATATCATCTACATATTAATTGAGGAAATACTAAATTAAAAAAAAAAATCATATGTGTCAATGAAGATTTTAGAGGACACATCAATTAAATTAACCAATCAAAAATATTCTAGTTAATTCTATATGACATGTTGAAAATCTCTACATATTCACATTGATTTTTTAACATGATCTTACAAATACATATGTTAATAATTTAAATCCAACTAAAATATAATATTTTCATATTTAAATGTTATATAACATGATGTTTTAACGATGAATTATTTACCGATGTTATTTACTTTATACAAATTGTATTTATGTCCATTTGGATACCATATGTGATTGACCATAAAATATTTTTTTTTTCATATGGTTTAATTGTATTCATATTACTCTAATTAAAGTTGCGCTTTTGTTATAAACATACAATTTTACAAATAAAAAATTAATGGTTAATTTTGAATATCATCATTTTCACTTTTATTATTTCTATGATTTTTTATTTAAGAAGATTTACATATTAACGCGATATTTTTTGGTTTCGTGAACTCAAATAAGTTTGAGAGAATCTAGAATCTCAAGCGTATTCGATTTATATTAAAAAGACTTGCATTCAATCTAAGTGTCATGCCGATTAAATTTTGTAGGATAAAATATATGTATTTTTATGACTATTTGATATTTTTGGTCTTTATGACTATTATGATTTTTTATTTTCAAATATTAGCTGGAGAAAATTTTAGTTGCATAGTGAACGTGCAGAATAACAAAGCTTCTTTAAAGATATGGTTTTGATTCTTTCATGTGGCTATCAATAATTCATTTTGGTATTACAAAGTCTTTTCAACAATTTCCTTCTCTTGACGAAAAAAAAGAATGGCAGATGTGACCGTGATTTCTTCAAGTATTATCCAACCCGGTAACATCGATCAATCAGGTCAGGCAAAGATCCATCTAACTCCATCTGATCTTAGCATTCTCTATCTTGATTATACTCAAAGAGGTCTTCTCTTCCCCAAACCCGACCCGGAAACCCGTTTCATCTCTCGGTTAAAGTCCTCTCTTTCAACTGCTCTAGAGATCTACTTCCCATTCGCTGGTCGACTTGTGAAAGTGAACAACCACGAAGACAATACGGTGTCGTTTTACATCGACTGCGACGATATCTTAGGTGCCAAATTTGTCCACGCCATAGCCGAATCTGTCTCGGTAAGCGATTTTCTTCAACCTAGTGGCTCTGTTCCTGAATGTTTTAGGCTTTTCTTCCCCGCGAACGGTCTCAGAAACATCGATGGCCTCCCGGAGCCCTTGCTTGATATACAAGTCACTGAGATGAAAGACGGAGTCTTCATTAGTTTTGGCTACAACCACTTGGTCGCTGATGGTGCTTCCATGTGGAAATTCATACAAGATTGGTCAAAGATTTGCTTGAATGGTCAACGGGAAAAACTTGATCAGCCTCTTGTCCTCAAAGGATGGTTCCTCGACAGGATCGATTTCCCGATCCATATTCCGGTTTCGGAGATAGAAACAGAGAAGGCGACAAGAGGTGAAAGATCGACGAAAGAGAGAGTTTTTCATTTCACAAAGAGGAACATTTCAGATCTCAAAGCTAAAGTCAACGTCGAAATTGGCAAAAGTGACCTGAAAATCTCATCTCTTCAAGCGGTTTTGGGACATCTATGGCAAACAATCGCTAGACACGGTGGTTTAAACCGAGAAGAAGAGATGCGTTGCATGCTAGCAGCGGATTTTAGGCAGAGGTTAAACCCTCCGCTCGAGAAAGAGTGTTTCGGAAATCTGGTCTATACCGTGATGGCTACAGCCACTGTGGGAGAGCTGCAAGATCGTGGCCTAGGGTCGGCTGTTTTGCGAGTAAGTAAAATGTTGAGATCGTTGACGAATGAAAATTATCGAACTTATGCAGAGGATTGGGTTAGAAATTGTAAGATCCCAAGAATTGATGTTCGAAGTAAAATGGGTGATAATTCTTTGATTGTCTCAAGCTCTCCTTGGTTCGAAGTGTATGATAATGATTTCGGTTGGGGTAAACCGATTGCTGTTCGAGCTGGACCAGCAAATGGTATTGGTGGCAAACTTGTAGTTTTTCGAGGGATCGATGAAGGAAGTATCGATGTTCATGCGATATTGACCTTATCGCTATGGTCCGATGTATTAGTGAACTTATTGGATGATGTTGAATCTATGGAAAATGTAACAACTACATGATTTTTGTCAATCATATGATCAAGAAACAACTCATCAGAATCAGTTAATTTGTTACTGCAAACTCTATGAGGCTATGAGCTTACCACCAGTTTATATAGCCAACGCTATTTGGTTCCACTAACTGGTTCAGAATCAACAGCTTACAAAATGGGACAAACATAAGATGAATCTTGTCTCGGTTATAAGGCATTTTGTGACAATATGCCCATACTC